TTATTATTATTATTAATCTATTTTTTTATTTCCCCGCGTTTCAGCCGGACCCCGTCTTTGCTGGGGAAAAATAATAATAATAAAAAATGCTGAAACTCTCTCTGAACACTTTTTTTTCCCAGCAAAACTCCCTCTGAGCAGGCAGAGGGTGAGGAGGTGCCCGCAGTGCCGGGTGGGCACTTGCTCTGGCTGGGGCTACGGGGGCTCAGGGGCTTCTGGCTCTCTCTGTTCCAGCCCCCCCTGGGGTGTAGGAGGAGAAAATGGGCCGGAAAAAAATACAGATCAGCCGGATACTGGATCAGCGGAACCGGCAGGTAGGAGCTCGGGGCAAGGTGGGAAGGAGGGGAACAGGGAGCCCCGTGAAGGGGATCTGGTCCCGGCTTCTCCGGGCGTGTTGGAGCCTCGGGAGCTGGAGGGGTTTAGAGACCCAGGAGGAGGATTTCATAGAACTATGGAATCCCAGATTGGCTCAGATTGGAAGGGACCTTAAAGATCATCCAGTCCCAATGGGCAGGGACACCTCCCACCAGCCCAGGCTGCTCCAAGCCCCATCCAACCTGCCCTTCAACACTGCCAGGGATGGGGCAGCCCCAGCTGGGCAACCTGGGCCAGGCTCTCACACTAACCAAATTTCCTCCTAATATCCCATCTAAATCTCCCCACTTCCAATTTTAATCCATTCCCCTATGTCCCATCCCTCCCTGCCCTCGTCCAAAGCCCCTCCTCAGCTTTCCTGGAGCCCCCTCAGGTCGGGGAAGGGGCTGTACCTGGATCCTGCCTGCAGCATCCCACCCCCTTGCCCTGCCCCCCAGGTGACCTTCACCAAGCGCAAGTTCGGGCTGATGAAGAAGGCGTACGAGCTGAGCGTCCTGTGCGACTGCGAGATCGCCCTCATCATCTTCAACAGCACCAACCGCCTCTTCCAATACGCCAGCACCGACATGGACAAGGTGCTGCTCAAGTACACGGAGTACAGCGAGCCCCACGAGAGCCGCACCAACTCCGACATCCTCGAGGTAGCGGCGAGGGGTGGGCAGGGGTGTGTGGGGGGGTGTGTGTGTGTGCAGGAC